CGCGCCGCCCGCGTCGCGCTGCCTGCGCGCGCCGCGCGCGCCGAGGCCATGCCGCGGGAGGCCGCGTCGGACGCCGACGCCGCCGCGGCGAGCGGAGGCCCGCGGCGCCGTCCGCCGCCGCCGCCGGGGGGCCGTGGCTCGTCGCGAGGGGAGAGCCGCCCTGGGGCAAGTGTCCCCGACAGCGAAGAAGTTTATCTTATACCGTTCTTCGCCCGTCAAATGAGGCGAGATCGGGGGCGGCGTCGGGGGGGAACGCTTTCGGGTTGGAGGTTCGAGGTTTGCGAACCTTCTCGTCGGTTTTCGGCGGCCTTCGAGCCTCGGGGTGCGTTCCAGCGACTGCGCCTCGCCGACGGTGGTTTGGGGGTGCCGGGATCGTACCGAGGGGCCGCCAGAGGCTCGAGTTATGACCCGAAAACAACCAGGGAATAGCCCGTTGGGGAGTGCATCGACCGCGAATCGCCCATTCATCGCCGATAGGGGGGACCGAGGGCCCACCTTGCCCAGGAGCGTTCGGATGCGCTGTCGGGGGCCTGTCACGGATCTATCGGCGATGTGTCGCCGATTCCAGCCTGATGTTCCACCCCTTTCAAGCCGGTCCTCCCTCTAAGTTCCACCTCAGAAGGGGCGGCGTTAGGGGGGGAGATTGGCCCAGTCGGCTGCGCGTAGGGTTAAATCGGGCATGTGTTATTACAAACATAATATGGGAAAGATGTTTGCATCATTTGTTGTTTTTGATTCTTGTTTGACTGCTTGTTATTTAATCGCTTCGCTCATTCCGTCTGCCCTGGAGCGCTATTTGGGGCCTCTTGGGGCCGTCTTGGGGGCTTCTTGGGGGCTTTTTTGGAGCGTCTTGGGGCTCCTTGGCGGCGTATTGGGCTCCTCTGGGGCATCTGGCTCCCCTGGGGCATCTTTGGGGGCTCTTGGGGGCCCCTTGGGCGGGAGGGGGGTAGTCGATTGCAGCCAACCCCCTCGGAGGCCACGATCCTTGTGAGGGGTGGCGAAAAATAGCCTCCCCCCTGGGGATCGCCCGGGGACCGGCCGGGGATCGGCCGGGGTACTTTTCGTCCGGGGCCCCCCAGGGGCCGCCCCGCGCGCGCGAGCTAGAAATATTGTTAAGTAGTTACCGGAGATCTTAGCACGCCTCTGGCCCGTTGGGCCAGCGAATTTCTCCTCCAAACTCCGCCTGTAGGAGGACATGCCCGACCTAAGTGTAGGACTGACCCGTGGCTGGAGTGGGCTTTGGTGCGGGCCCACAGGGGTCCCCTCGGCATCGGCCTGGGCGATTGGATTTTGCTTCACCTTGTCAGGTGTTGCGCCCACCAGGAAACAAAACGAGGGCCTCGACAAATTTGTTTTTGCATTTTTTCATGTATTTATTGGTGGCGTCAAACGCGGTCGTCGCCGATCGCTTGCCCTGATTTAGCGATTTCGGTCGACGGAGGCACGGTGGGGCCGCTGTGGGGGGCCAAGGTCCTTGGCCCCCCACAGCGGCAAGCCAGGAACCACTCTTGTCACCGCTGCGTGTAGCCAGACCGGGGGGGGGAGCGTCGACCCCCACCTGCCCAGGAGCGTGCGATCGGTGGGCGGTGTGTCGTTGATCCCGGGTCCCCGTTCTCCCCCCATTGAGCCAGTCCTTCATCTTTTCTCAGAAGTGAGGAGGAGGAGGAGGAGGAGGAGGAGGAGGAGGAGGAGGAGGGAGGAGGAGAGGAGGAGGAGGAGGGAGGAGAGGAGGAGGAGGGGGGAGGAGGAGGAGGAGGAGGAGGGGAGGAGGAGGGGGGGAGGAGGAGGGGAGGAGTCGGGGGAGCGTAAGACCCGGGTTTGCCAGGACTCGGGTTCGCCATCGTTTTTTGACGACCGCGCCTCGGATTTTGACGAGGAGGAGTTTCGTGGGATGTCTGCAGCGGGAGGCCTCGTCAAAATGCAGGCTCGGCCTCGTCATTTTTTTGACGACCTCGTCGGGGATTTCCGAGTCCCCCGTACCTGGGTCTTACGTCTCCCCGAAGGAGGGGAGGAGGAGGGAGGAGAGGAGGAGGAGGAGGGAGGAGGAGGAGGAGGAGGAGGAGGGACGCGGGTCCTGAGGGTCTTTGCTGTCTTCGGTCTCTGCGGGGGCCTTCCTTTGGCCACAGGGATCTCGAAAGACGACCCGGGACCAGGCGGTGCCGACCGCTGCCGACGCCTGCCGCCGCCGCCGCCGAAGATTGCTGGACCTCTGGTGGGCCCGCTCTGTGGACGTATTTCGCTTTACATAATTTCCTACACGTGGAAGTGGAGATGTCTGGGATCGCTCGGACGTGTGCGTTTTCCTTTCGGCGAGGAACGTCCCGGATCCTCGAGCAAGACTCAGTCACGCACGAATGCGGAACATCTACGGAGAATGGACGTCCGAGCGATGGCAAGAAGTGTGATTAGTTATAGTAGGCCATCGGTATATCTCGATGTAGACAGGGGCAGTTGATTTCTTCCAAAGCTCACCGATCACCCCGGTAGCCCACTGTCGCCC